GATAGAACTTGGCTGCCTGGGTAACCACCCATCTGGAAACGAGGTTCATCCCACGTAGGTTGAATTCTATGAACCAGCAGTGCCATGTACAGTTTGTGTATGCACTCCATGAGCGCTATAGGTCTGAACTGATCCACACTACCAATGTGTAGCAGTTTCGGCACCAGGACAAGCTCCGCAACACGTTGCTCATCCAAAGGGCAGTTTCGCAGTATGAGGTTGAGATGGGACTGTAAGAGTTGAAGACCAGGGCCTGCAGAACATAACGCCTTGAGAAAGTCCGCAGAACAACCAGATGGACCTGCTGTTTTACCTGGCTTGAGTCGGTGCACGGCGCGCAAGATCTCATCTTCTGTGAAGTCAGACACGGAATCGAAGTCTGGCACATGCCGAGGGTTCTCCGCGTGGACAGTGTCACCATCCCCTGCGCCAGCTTTGTGAACGAAGAAGTCGTGCACTGCATTGACAAAGGACTGCTTACTGCCGTATGCTGCTATCGCTTCATCAAAGGAAACCTTATCGCGATGCTGATGAAAGATATTATGAATGGCGTCAAAGTTTCCTTTAACCGCCATGTCCAAAATGGATTTTGTCCAAGATTCCTTCTCGATCTGCCTCCTGGCCAAAACGGCTCTCGTAAGCGCAAGTCGGATTTCGGGGTCCTCGGCAAGTCTCCTTTTGCGACACAACTCTTTAAGACCAGGTGAGTCGACAAACTTCATGCCAGGCTTTCTATATGAAGCTTTCTGCGATAGATCTTTCAGGATCTCCCATTGTTTTTCCAGGGGCATCAAAGAAAAGTCATACTTCGAAGGCAGGTGTTGCGAAATCTGTGAGTTGTCGATGCACCACTTATGACATCGCTTGAAATGTCGCTTGCGTCGACTGTGCATTGAAGCAGAAGTACCTTGAAATACGAAATCACACATGACACAAAGGTGGTCAGAACCTAAGGAGATGTGAGAATCCGCAACACACGACACGGCGGGGCTGTATCGGAGAGAACTCTGAGTTCCAGAGAGCTCCGGGCCACCACACACAAAATAATCCAGGCATCTGCTTGAATGTCTGCCAATTCGGGTATTCTCATCAGGGTAGTGAATCTGAAAACCGCAAAGGCAAAGGGGGATGGCAATGCGATCATGTCGGTCATCTCCAGGCTGACAATTCCAGTCTCCTCCTATAATAAAGTTGTAGTGCGGGTATCGAAGAATAAAGGAAATGAGTTCATCACATGCATGTTGAAATACATCAATTCCATCACCAACATGGGGCAAGTGTACAGAAATGAGGATTAAACTGTTGACGAAATGGCAGGCCTTCAATCCCACTGCAATATATCTCATGCCACTGGTGAAGAATGCAATCGACTCCACTTCTTCAGAATCAACAGCAATCACTTGTGCAAGATGAGATTGAGTACGACCCACAAAGACCCTGTAGTGGCGCCAATCGTCATCGCGACCCATGACAACCTCTCGTATATCCGGAGTCGAAGATTCGGCTAGGCATACACTCCCCGGCTTTTGGCCGACGGGCTGTACTGATGGAATGTCTGCACTGCCGCCCACCTCCTGCAGAAATATTATTTCAGGGAAGTGGTCCAAATTAATATGGTGGCTTGCATGATAGATGTCTTTACCCTGCACATTCCACGTACACGATTGCACGAGGTGGCAAAGACTCGTAGGCTGGGAAGATGGCGCTCCTCACTGCCTAGAGAAAAGGCCTTTCTCAACATCCACCTGGCTTTTTCCAAGCAGACTGGCGATCTTTGTAAGGCTGAAAAAGAACATGGCGTGCGGTTGCGTGTCATCAGTGGAGAAGGAGATGAGACAATCCTCGGGGTTAGGCATGAGCGTCTCCCTTGTGTCCGATGCAATGCGGTAGCTTCCACCCCAGATAAGGCCCTTGCTCCACTCAATGTCAATCTCGCACTGAACCCCGGATTCGCGAACAAGATCCTCTAGGATGACGCGTGCCTTCATAATCTTCCGATTGCGCATGCGGACTTCCTTGGGCTTGCTGGCAGCGAACCACATCTTTGTGGCACCATCTCTGTCTGAAGTAGGGTGGCGGTCATGCAACTGCTCACGGATAGTGGCATATCGCTCGTATGCCATCTGGTGCTCCATCGGAGGAAGATATAGGTGGGAAATGGTGGATCTTTTGCCGTAGACGACCAAATCTTGGATTTCCAGGGGGGGCTGGTGAAGATCCAAAACTCGTCGAGCCGATTTTAGAATCTCATCCCTCTTGGAACCATCGTCCCAGCCTCCGATGATGAGATGACAATAGTCAGCATGAGTCTCGCTTAAGGCTCCACGATTCGGACCATGCTGCGCAACAGGAGTGAACAAAGGAGATGATTTCTGATCATGCTGACCAGGAGGAGGAACTCTGTTGAATGAAGCTTTTCCTTCACCACCCTTCTCAAGCAGCTCTTTGACCGTGTTCTCCAGTTTGCTGATTCTTTCTGCCATTTCCTGATTTTCTTCACCGGCTTCGAGCTTCTGCAGGCGATCGTGGAATGAGATCATGAGGTTATGACTGCGTTGGATCTGCAACTGTAAAGTAGACTGCATAGCAATGGCCCACGCAGGTGCGTCCTCAGTAGTAGCCACGGTGGATGACTGGCCAGCATTGAGGAGCTTATCAAGTTCCTCATCCGGATCATCGGTAATAGGTTGTACACAATGTTTCTTGCGCTGAGGAGAGGTACTGGGGCTTGCCATTCCAGCTACTTCACGGCGGTCTTCAAAAGTGAAGAGTGCCGATCTCTATCTAAAGCCTGAATCCTGAAGCCTTGAGCCTTGAGCCAAAAAGACGCCCCTAAACTCCCTAAACTCCCTCAACTCCCTAAACTCCCTAAACTCTAGACTCTAAACCCAAACCCTAAACCCTAAACCCTAAACCCTACACCCTACACCCTAAACCCTAAACCCTGGGCTTGGCTAGCACGTCTGAGCTCCAGGGCCCAGCGCTCCAGGTGAATCGTGGGCGTGCCTTGACGTGCTTTGGGTTTAGGGTTTAGGGTTTAGGGTTTAGGGTTTAGGGTTTAGGTGCTTCTTGGAATTCCATAACTTCAGTCTGTTCAATTGTCTACAGTACAGGGATTTAAGGAGTTTAGGGTTTAGGGATTTTAGGATTCTGAATTAAGAGCTCAGGGATTCGGGCGATTTTGTGGTTGATTCGGGCTCAGGGTTGAGGGTTTTGGGTTTAGGACGTAGAGTGTTGTCACCGTGTTGTTATAAACCACCTGCTTGGCTGACCACCACTGTTCTTTAAAGTGGCTTCCTGGGACCTGGGCTGGGCCCTTCTATCGGTAGCTCTGAAATCCTGCAAGGCCACCCAAATAAGCAGTGTGCGCGGCTTTTTGGAGCGCAAACCGTGCGGTAGCCAAATCAGCCAATCAGCCAGTCAGCTAGAAGAAGCTAGCAGGCTGGCTGAGTTTTGCTTGTTGGCTGTTTGTTCAAAAACTCAAACCGTCTTCCATCAAGCTAAGTAAGGCCCAAAAGAGAGTATGTCGACCTTCAGTACGGGGCAGAGTTCGTTCGGGTAGGGGTAGTGTAGGATTCTTTGAACCCGAGCGGCATGCTGAGGGCTTCCCAAAAAAACATTTCACATGATCTCACGACTACTCTGTGCTTAAGAACATGAGCCCCGCGGTTCGTATTTACCTTCTTGCACCTTAAACTGCCCCATTGTTGGGGTACTATTGAAAAAAACGTCATTTTTGGTCCTTCTTGGGTTTAAGTATTCAAAAAATGAAAAATGATGATCAACCATGACCCAGAAAACGCGAATCCCTAAACCATCTTGAAACCCTCAAAGCCTGGGAATCCTCCACTTCCGCGTCCCAAGCTCACCCCTTGGGTTTTGTTTTTGCCCTAAACCCTAAACCCTGAACCCTGAACCCTAAACCTTAGACCCTAAGTTGGGGATCGGACTGGAGAGTTCATCGCCAGATTGCAGAATCTCCACGCACGCCACCTGGCAGATAACGACCAGAAGGTCGTAACCTAGCTGGTTTTTGGCTTGGGGGCTTCGAGGGTGTGTAGGTGCTCATGTTCTTGGATGGGTAGGAACCGTACCTGAGCTTACCTGGCTGAGAATCCCCTAAACCTAAACCCTAAACCCCTTTGAAACCTAAGCCTGAAGCCCACGATGCGTCGGCCCTTTCGGCAAAGTATAGTTCGCGCGAACGCCTTTCCTGGCCTCCTGCGGAGTGTCGAAGATGACACCAATCCAGGCAGCACCTAGGGCTTAGGGTTTAGGGTTTGGGGTTTAGGGTTGAGGGTTATACCCCAACGATCTGAAACCAGTGGTGCTTGAAGATCACCCGAATGCAAACAGATCCCTGGCACTCTGGCCCTTGCGGGTGGTGCCTGGTCCTTGGGGACGAAATGAAGCCTAAAACTTGGAGGTCATATACCCTATACTACTATAATTCCTATTGAGGTGTATGAACCCTAAACCCTTTTAGGGTTCATGTCGTCCCCAAGGGTGCGAGCGGCATGCGAATGAGACGCGAGTTTTTTCTTCCGCTCGCAGGGCACCTTGCAGGACTATACAGGACTCGCTACGATTACAACTACTACCAGGGTTCAGGGTTTAGGGTTTCCAGTATTGCTCTGAATATGATTCGTTTTTGTTTCCAACAGTACACACCCTTCCTCAACCCTCCATCAAACGACGGCTGGTCACTGGCACTTTAGCCATTTTGCGATATGAAAGGATCACTTGGAATGAACACTGAGAATCACAACAGGCCCACGCGACTTTGGCACGGCCCACAAGTTAGCTGCGGTAGCCCTACTTTTGGCAGAGCGTGATGTGCACTCGCACATGCAAGCACATCTTCTCTGTGAGACATGAGGAAAACAAAGAAGGACCTTGAGCAAGTATTGTCACCACAAAGAACCACCACGTTCCGGGTGGGAGGTCTTGGGGTATGGACAACAAATCGAGTCCTGTCCTGTCCTATGGTCAGGAACCCGTTAGCTGCTAGTTCTTAGTGCCAGTAGGTTCTGCAGGTCTGCAAGTTTCCAAGGGTGCCTGACTGTGCGCATGTCGTCCTGCAGTATGGCATAGGTTTCGAGCTCGCCAGGACGCTTTTCACCATTCAGGGGCCAGTAGGCCCAGCCAGCCACGGGACGTGAGTCGAGGTAGCGCAGCATGTGGTTCCACCACTCGGTGTCGTGAGCGGTACCAAACTCTCCAAGCCATATGGCGGCCACTCCTTAGGGACGACATGAACCCCAAAATTGGGGTCATATACCCTGACTACTTAAACAATTCCTAGTAAGGCTACAGGAACCCTAAACCCTCTTAGGGCCCTTTTAGCAAGGCTCCTGCACCTTCTTCCCGCTCTCGCAGGAGGAAACCCCAGCGATCGTCAATGGACTGCCGCCATGCCTCATAGGAATCCTTGGCCGCCCCGTACCCATCTTACAGTAAGGGCACCCAAACCCTAAACCCTAAACCCTAAACCCTAAACCCTAAACCCTAAACCCTGAACCCAAAAGAGAAGGGGGGAAGGGTACCACTGGGCTACCGAGAATCCAGGTAGAGCCGCGCAGCCGCATTGGCAGAGATCAGAAGAAGCATGGCCAGAACCTTAGTTGTCCAGTACCTAGGGGTTTTAAAGGTTAACCTTTGGGATTACAAGGAAAATGAATTAACCCAAAAAGGTTAAAGGTTATCTACTCTACTGCTAAGGAACGGCCACAGCTGCTCCCTTGCGTTCCAGCACAGCTCGGGGAGGCTCCTTGCCTTGTGCTGCGATGATGTTCAGGTTTTGGGGCGCATCACCTTCCACATAATTCAGCTCGGGCATCTCAATGCCATCCTCTCCAACCCGCTCCGGAGCGACCGGAATCGGCTTCTCTTCATCGTTGTCAGGTGTTACGACTGGCCTGTATGTCCGCAGGAGCACGCATGACAGGCGTGCAGAGAACACGAGCCCCAGCAGCCAAAGCGGGCTGATGACCAACAGCGGGAAGGAGACCACATGAATTTCACCAGGCTGACAGGGATCGATGACAGCACGTCCAATCACCAGCAGGCTGAGGAGGAATGCAGCCATCGAGAGCACAGCCAAAGCCACCTCGACATAGAGCCCACGCAGTCTGGGCCAACAACGTAGGCGTCTTCGCGGCAGAGTCATCACCGGACACGCGTGCGAAATGGCCAGTAAGGCCAGTGAGAGGATCAGCAGCAAACCAACGTAAATGACAGACAGGCCGCACAGAGCTTGGCCAAATTCGTACATGCTCTGAACAGAATTCTTGTACCAGTCATACTCATGGGTGGTGTAGACGATGTGACCCTCCAATCCTGGCTCCATGTGCAGAGGGCGCTGCGGGACGTCACAAAGGAACATGCTGTACCTTGCAGGGTGAAGAGGTCCTATACCCTCTACAAAAACAACAATCCCTCTTAATTCAGGTATCTGAACCAGAAGCCCTGATACCCTCTGCTACCACAATCCCTCTTCAAACAGGTATCCGAACCAGAAGCCCTTACACCCTCTACTACCATCATCCATCTTAATTGAGGTCCTCTGAACCAGGAGCCCTTGTAGGGTTCGTTTCGTTCCCAAGGCACTCCAAGCCGGAGATGAACAGAAGCATGTCTGGGTTCGAATCCAGGACCTGCCTGCTCATGGGATTAAGTCTCGTACCCTTTAGGGTTTAGGGTTCACGGTTCAGATGCCCCTTATAGTCCCCTAAAGAAGGTCGAGCCCTAAACCCTCAACCCTTTGCAACAGGCTTGCCACCTCGCCCGGAGTTGGTGCCACTCGATTAAAGCAGCTTCACTGCTATCCAAGAGCACGCATTCGCCGATCGACGGCAAAACCCTCAACCCTAAACCCTAAACCCTAAGCCCAAAGCCCTATAAGCCCCAAACCCGAAACCCTAAACCTAAACCCCAAACCCTCCCTCGCGTGACCTGCTCCCTTTGGAGGCCGCCAAGGCCCAATCTGTGCTGCCCGAACCCCAAGTGACGGTGGCTGACTCGGTGGATCGGACTTCATTCCTCAGGGGGACCACTTCTGAACCCTAAAAGGGCTTCTTTAGGGCTTATGTTCCCTTACTTAGTAGGGTTAAGTTGAGGGTTTTAGAGTATATTATCGTCACTAAGGGCATATGACCCCAACTTTCAGGTTCATTGGGTCTGCGAGGTTCCGGATGTCGAAGCCAACGACTCGGGGATTGTCCCTGTAGCGAGCTGCTAGGAACCCCAGATGCTGGAGCCAGGCCGGCTCCGGAAAGTCCTCTGTGTACCACAGGCCCTCCTTGCGGGACGAAATGAACCCTAAGATTGGGGTCATACAGCCTGACTACTATAATTCCTATTAAGGTCTATGAACCCTAAACCCCCTAAACCCCCTAAACCCTAAACCCTCAAACCACCTAAACCCTAAACCCCCTAAACCCCCTAAACCCTTTTAGGGTTCACTTAGTCCCCAAGGCTCGCCATCACTCCCCGAGCAGCACCAGCCGCGCTTTGACACGTGGTTGTTGAGCCTTGGCATAGCCCAAGTAACCATATGTTGGGGTTTCCGAAATTATGGGGTAGAGTACCTTGTGAGGGTTCTTATGATAAGGGAATCCTACCAGTTGGGGGTTTATTTTTGGTTCCTTATTTTCGTAACCTCCCAGATTAGAGTAAGGGTACCCTTTCTACGGCTTGAACCAACAAAGAGGGAAAAGGGTACCAGGGGGCTACCAAGGAGCACCACGAGCAAGCCGGCCTCGGTCAGCGCTTCCACAGTTGAGTCAAAGATCTGCAGTGGGCTGGACGCCCGGAGCTCGGGATTGTGGCAAAGTTGACCTGCAGGATCCGGTACCTTGGGGACGAGATGAACACTAAAAGGGTTTATGGTTCATACACCTTAATAGGAATTATAGTAGTCAGGGTATATGACCCCAATTTTAGGCTTCATTTCGTCCCCAAGGTACTGAGGCAGCGCTGAGATTCAGGGAATCCAGGCTGTAAGGCAAGCGCACGCAGTTGAACTGCAAGTTCACGATCTCCGCAGCGATCTCAGCGAGTGGTCTCCTATGCTGAGCATACTGAGCTTGGAACCCCAGCAAAAATTATTATGTTTGCTGTTTCTTGGGAATTAGAGTAGCCAAAGATGAAACTCATTCCAAGTACCCCTAAGTCTCACATTGAGCCCATTCATCACGAGCATCTCCATGTGGGCCCCATACCAATTTACGCAGGCGAGGACCTGACGCCGCCCATCCGCGGACAGGACATGGGATCCCTGAACCCTGAGGGGCAGGGAGCTCCTGTCAATCAGCCAAGTTGGCTCTGGCGCGGCCGTTGAAGTGCTGGAAGCACAAGCCTATGCTGAACTTGGAACCCTAGCAGAAATTACACTTTTAGCTGTTTCTTAGGATTAGAGTACCCAAATTAAAAAAAAAAATTCCAGGCATCCCCAAGAAACAGGGGGTCCGGAGAAAGCATCCTCCTCCGCGCGAATCTCCGCCAGTGCATCCTGCAGGTGGCAACCTCATGGGGGCCCACATGAACCCGAAAAGGGCTTGTAGGATTTATAGAGGGTTTAGGGTACCTGAATTGGGATGAGAGTCGAGTAGTATAGGGTATATGACCTCAATTTAAGGGTTCAGTTGGTTGCCCAAAAAAAACACCTCCGTCTCGATAGAAGGAGAAGTGTGCGCAGCCGGCCACGCTGGCGCAGCGCTGCTGACAGGCGCCCGGAGTGGCTTCCTGCGTTCGCCCTTGTCCCGGCAAGTCGAGGGGATGATACTCTGTGTACCGATCCAAACCTCGGGGGGCCAATTGAACCCTGAAAGGGTTTAGGGTTCATGTAGCTTCATAGGAATTCTCGTAGTCAGGGTCTATGACTCGAATTTTTAGGCTTCATTTCGTCGGCCAAGGAACACTCCACGATGTCCTGAACCCGGCAGGGTGAGGCCAGACATTGACCTATCATGCCAAGCGCCAGGCAGGACGGCTCACGTCCAGTTCCTGCTTGCACACACCCACGAGGGCAGGACCATCCCGCATCGTGCCCACTCCTTCGGGGGCGTGCGTAGATTCGTAGAGGAACCCCCACAAGGGCTTCGGGTTCTCCAAAGCCCTAATGTGGATATTCGCAGCACATGGAAAATGATCCCAACACCCTATAAACCCTAAACCCTAAACCCTAAACCCTAAACCCTAAACCCTGAACCCTGAACCCTGAACCAGTTTAGGGTTGATCTGGCCAAGAAAGCTCCTGCAGAGGTCTCCCTTCCCCTCTTCCGAGTGGGTTTCCAGCTGGAAGCCATCGGGGCAGGACATGCCGGAGGAGGAAACCGGTCACCGGCCGTAAAACAAATATTAATATTTTAAAAACATGATATATATATATATATATAAACATATACATATATGTATGCATACACAATGCTACCATGGTATAAAGCCGTGCGTTCTAGGCAGCACTTCTGGCTTGGACGATGACAAGCAGCAGACAGCTGACAGGGGTCAGGGGTTAACTAAGCCAAGGAAGACCAAAACACCAAATTGCCACTTCTACCATTCTATGCTGACTCCTGAAGCAGACCCTTCAGGCCCTTGAAGGGCTTCGAACCTAATTTATGGGTGCAGGGGTCCAGGGTTTGATCTCTTGCGACGCCCTTGCCTCCCCCCCTCCCCACCCCCTTTTGAGGTCACAGCCGCTGGAGCAGCCGAAGCCTTTGGAGAGTAGGGTTTAGGGTTTAGGGTTTAGGGTGTAGGGTTTAGGGTTTAGGGTTTAGGGGTTTAGGGTTTAGGGACTATCGGTGCCGGTCGCCGCCAACTTATCCCGAGGGCTAAGTCAGGTTTCAGACACTTTCAGAGAGCAAGCGCAACATCTGGCGCATGCTGCAACCACAGGACAGGCCTTCAACAAGCCGCAACAATTGCGCCAATAGCTCACCAGGGTTTTCCTAGGACTCTATTCACCTCAAGTTTAGTAGCAACAACCCTTAACTAGTAGGATAACTCCAACCCATCAACAAAACTGTAGGTAAAGAGCATCTCTAGTAGGTATAACTATGGGTCTCGGGTTGAGGGCAGCTTGGGGCACTCCACTCCACCAGCGTTTGCCTCGATACGTCGTGTGCGCAATCTGACAGAATTCGGGCTGGGCATGCGACAGGAAGAGCGCCACATCTCGCCTGGCGAGACTCAGCAACAAGGGGCGGTAAAACCGGGACAACCCTAGACCCTAGACCCTAAACCCTAAACCCTAAACCCTAAACCCTAAACCCTAAACCCTAAACCCTAAACCAGGCTACTGTGGCGTGAGTTGAAGACTGCACAAGGTCACCGGCACCTCCGGGAACTCGAGACCTGAACCCTAAGCTCCTGAACCCTCAGCCCTAAACCCTAGGGTTTAGGGTTTAGGGTTTAGGGTTTAGGGTTTAGGGTTTAGGGTTTAGGGTTTAGGGTTTAGGGTTTAGGGTTTAGGGTACCCCAACTGAATAAGAACGAGCCCGTGCACCGTCCAAGCTGTTGAGCGCGTTCTCAGGTGCTGTGCTAGCGGATGCCTTTCCAGACCTTCCACTGTGCTCATGTCTGTTAGAGGTTTTGGGTTCAGGGTTTAGGGGTTTGGGGTTCTGTAGCATAGGGGCCCTCGTGAATAAGGATTCGAGTGCAGAGTTGCGGGGGTCTCTGGGCTCAGGCTCTAGTTCGGTACTAGCATGGCCCTAAACCTCCTCGGAAAAAAAAAACCTGAATATGATCCTCTTAAACCCAAAACAGGAAATTAAAGAATGTCCCAAGTGCCCACCGAGGCTAGAACGAATCCTCAAGAACCCCCTAAACCCTAAAAGCCCTAAAAGCCCTAAAAGCCCTAAAAACCCTAAAAACCCTAAAACCCTAAAAACCCTAAAAACCCTTAAAAAAACCTAAAAACCCTAAAAACCTAAAAACCCAAAACCCTAAACCCATCCCATTACGACCCGTCTGGGTCCGAAAAAATGCTGTGGCTCCCAGCGCGAAGGTGGTGCCCGTAAGGGGTGCCGATGAGCAGCCGCTGAGAACCTTCTTTCCAAGATAAAGGCCGGCTGAGGGTTTAGGGTTTAGGGTCTAGGGTTTAGGGCTTGGGGTTTGGGGTTTAGGGTTTAGGGATATAGGGATAGGGGACCTGGTGAATCTCAACCCCTAAACCATCAAGGGAGGCTGGGGACCGAATGAACCCTAAAATTGTGCCCTCTAGCACTATAATTACGAAGGTAATATGAGCCCCAACCCCATTTAGGGCTCATAATTGGTCCCCAAGGAATTCAGGGGCCTCGCGGCTCCTTTGAAGAGCAATCCAGATTCGGCCGCAGGTTTGACGCGCAAGCTGTAGGGATGCTAAATGCACGTTCAGAATTACCTGGGACTCGTTTTTTGCCTACAGTTTAGTAGTGACGACCTGTAATTCGTAGGCAGAACTCAGAAAAACTCCCGGGTAGGTAGGAGTTTTCTGAGAAATATGCAAAATACCCTTTGGACATACCCCCCCCCCATTATTCTCAGAGTTTTGGGCTCAAGGGGTGCCATACAAGCCCTACAGGTTCAGGGTTGGGGTTTTGGCATTTTGGGATTTAGAGTTGAGGGCTTGTCGGTTAGTAGGTTTGGGCCCACGGCCCTTGTATAGCAGAGGACCAGGATTCGCTCTCCGCCGGGGGCCGAGTGCAATCAGACGAAGGGTGACAAAGGGTTTAGGGTTCAGGGTTTGGGCTTGTCGGCTAAAGATGCGCCGTACTGTGCGCAATTGTGCTAGTCTCCCACCGCTCAAGAGATGCATCACGAAGAAATTCGCGGGATGTCCGGCGTATGTGTTCATATCTTCCCAGGAGCCCGGAAGCAATTCGGATTCTTAGGCCGCCCCTGGCGACTTGCTCAGGCCGGTGCTGATTCATCGGCCAAGAAGAATCTCAGGCGACCTCAGCAACTGTTCTCCACTGTTCCATACCCAAAGGCTCCAATGCAGTTCCTTTTCGGGTTAGGTATAGGGGATTCCAGTATACTACCCCCAAAAGGGACTACATAGGAGCCTTTGGGTAAACCCCGCAGGAACTGCTATATAAGGTACTAACCCCAAGCCCTATAAGCCCTATGAACCCAAGAATGCAGCAGCTGGGGGTTCTGGGGGGGTTGCTCAGGAAGCGGTGACTTTGTTGAGAACAAATGGGTCCAAGGTGAGCTTCATCTAGCGGTGTGCTATTGATTATATTTAGCACACATGGGGCTTACGGTTTATATAGGGTTGAGGGTACTTGTAGGGCAGCCATACGACCCATGTACCCATCTCATTGGTACTTAGGCCTCACAAAGCGCCGGACTCACCGCCCAGTTCCACTCTATCGGGGCTCCTGCATCTCCGGAGACACGAAGTAAAATTGGGATCACATACCCTGTACTACTATAATTCCTGTTAGGGTTTCGGGTTTTGGGTTTTGGGTTTAAAAATTAGGGTTGAGGATACGCCCTACACTACAATCATTCCGATTAAGGTACTCTGAACCGTAAACCCTATCAGGGGATCAGTTGGTTTCCAGGGCAGTTCGGGTTTACTTCGAGGATTCCTTTGGCTAAGCGATGGTGCTTCTGCCGTCCCCAACTCGCCTAGCATACCCTAGACCTCTATAAGCCGTATGCAGGAAATGCCCTGCATCGTTGTGTAGCACAAGTGTGGTAGTAAAAACACGAAAGTTGCACGCATTACGCCTGCACATCGATACAGACTAGAACCTGCCGGACTAATGAGTCCTCCACTGCCCTCTCACAGTCAGCAAAGCAAACAGCCCCTTGTGTTCCTTAAGCCTTTCAAAGCGCTCCAACAAAACCCTCTAAACCTAACCCCTAAACCCGAAACCCGGACAAGCTTCAACCTCAACACTTGCAAGCAGGGTCCGTTGACGACGCGCCACAGGACGCCTGGCTGCAGGCAACTTCGGTTCTGGAGCCCCCGGAAGCCCCAACCCTCCCGAGGTTTCTTTAGATCCTGCTTGCTTTGGGGACGAATGAACCCTAAAAGGGTTTCTGGTTCATATGACCATAATGGGGATTATCGTAGTATAGGGTAATGTTGCACTGCTTTTCGTATATGCAGGGTCTATAATCACAAGTTTCGAAAATGTATTCTGCGACATCCGTTTGTTTGGGGTGACCCGCTGTCGTCACAAGTCTTTTTTCCCGATGGTTGATTTTTTAAGGGTGTGCGTTTAGGGATGAGGGCTTACGCAGTAAGGCTTGAGGCCTTGAGGGCCTTGGGCTCCAGGAATCTCAGAGCCCTGAGTATCCAGAAAGCCAAGCCCGGCCAGTTCATGCAAAGCCTTCTTGAATTTCACTATGAAACGACGTCCCAAACAAATTTGTGACAGGTAAGTCCAGGGGCCGGCCCGATTCGCTTTAGTAGGTTTGTTGGGTACTCGCTATACACACAAGTGTTTTTGGGATAATTTGTTCATTCTAGGCCTTTAAGGGCCATAATGCCCGAAGCCAAAAGGGCTGCTTCAACCGTGAAAAGCAGCTGGAAAGCTTCAGGCCTTAAGGTCCTAGGCGAGGCCCTGAGGGTGGTTCCTTCCCGCCCCCCGCCAAATTTGTTTGGGAGGGTCGCCACCGTCTATGGACATGTTTTGGGGGGGGGGGGGGGGGGGGGGGGGGGGGGGGGGGGGGGGGGGGGGGGGGGGGGGGGGGGGGGGGGAGTAGTGTGGGGGTAGATGACCCCAATGTTAGGGTTCATAATTGGGCCCCCAGGGTGGGTGGCATGCAAGATGCAGGAAAGCCGACCACAACTATGTGAAGCGTGAAGGTCAAACCAAGACTTCGGGTCCTAAACCTCTAAAACCCTAAATCCCCAAACCCTAAACCCTAAACCCTCCCTAACCATAAACCCTAGACCCTGAACCCTGAACCCTGAACCCTAAACCCCAAAACCCCAAAGCGACATCCAACCCCTCGAGCTTCTCTTGGGCGGAGGAGCCCGGAGGTGGCGAGGTCCCGGTCGAGACGTTCAGGGGATCAAGGACCTCAGCCCACTAGTTCCCAAAGGCTTCTAAGGGTTTTAGGGTTAAGCTAAGGGTTTGGGGTTAGGGGTTTCGGGTTAGGGTTTTGGGGTTTAGGGCTTCTAGGGTTTTACGGTTTTGGGGGTTTAGGGTTTCGACTCTCACGCCCGCTCAAGGCTGGCAGTGCTTCGGTTCGTAGGTCTTCTTGGGGTTGAAGGTTTAGGGTCTTGGGGGGTTTGGGGGTTTGGATTTGAGGATTTACGGGGTTTAGGGTTCGTGGTTCGCCAGGGCCCCAAAAGAAGGGTTTGGGCTTCTAAGGGTTTAGGGCTTCTAAGGGGTTTGGATGGTTTAGATCATGTTCGCGTGTCAGGGTCTAGGGATTGGGGCATGCCGGCCTAAAAAACAAAAAGACTCAGAAGATAAACCATCAAGAAATCCTTACAAGAAGCCGCATCCCATCCTTCTTAAAAATATTCGGCGGCCCTCATAGACTCCCCCAAATCCCTACGCGAAGCCCCCCAGCAGATCCTCGTCGCCCGCTCCCAAACACTGAGCACAGTGCAGCATGAACTTGAGGCAGAACTGGTCCAAGAATGTGAAGGTTGTCCCACACCTGCGGCGGGCCAGTTGAAGACTTCATGCGTGTAGTCTGCGTTCTTTCCTGGAACTGCCAAATTTCACAGAGCGTGGACTGCGCCATTGTCAGCATGCGCAATGTAGTTTGTTTTTCTTCCGACGCCCACAGTCCAGCTTCACATGCAAGTCTGGCCAGCTCACATGCCCGAGAGGACGGTCTTGGCACGGATGAGGCTTTCCTTGGTCCAGAGTTGCTTTTATGCGGCGAGAGCTGCAAAAATGCTGGGTCGTGTCCAATCGCCCTGTAGCTTACATGAGGGCACGCCTGCTTCAACACGCCAAGATTCCTTCTCCTCAGTGCGTGCTTGCTCTCGCAAGTCGAAGTGCTCCAGCAGCCAGTCGCACTCGCCATGGAGCTCGGAGGTGTACTTGGCGGCGGCAGCCAATTCCTTCGAAGGCTTCCAGTTTCTGGGACGGCCAAGGTGACCGTTGCACACACCCATCCTGGACCCCCCCCAACTACCCAAGACGATCCCCCCCTCTCTCTCACTCTCTATCTCTCTCGTTCTCTCTCACACACTCTCTCTCTCTCTCTCTCTCTCTCTGTCTGTCTGTCTGTCTGTCTGTTAGTCTCTGTCTATCTCTCTCGCTCTCTCTCTCTCTCTCTCTCTCTCTCTCTCTCTCTCTCTCTCTCTCTCTCTCTCTCTCTCTCTCTCTCTCTCTCTCTCTCTCTCTCTCTCTCTCTCGGGGCGTCGATCCCGAAGCCGAAAACCACCCACAGGCCACCGTCCTTGGTTTTCCTAGTCCTCCAATCTTATTTGTTTGTGTAAAGAGGCACTCATGTTCACTTGAAGCATCAGCCCCTACGCAAGGATGACACGCTGAGCGCGTCCACTGAGGTCTTAACCATAAACTATGCCAACGATGTTGGCTCAAGTCTCGGAGCAAATGCACGGAGTGCAGCTTGGTTTTCGGGTTCTTTCGGGTTCTTCCGGGTTTTGGGGTTTGGTTTCCTCTTCCCGGTACCCTAGTCCCACCCCCTGTCCTGGTACCCTAGTCCTGCGACCCAGTCCAGGGTGTGAAGGGTGCGTTCGTTCAGGGGTTCAGGGCTAAGAAGGTGGTTGATGATTGAGGTCCAAGGCGGAAGAGATGGCGGGGGATACTGATGATTTATCTAGGGTTTTGATGAACGATGTTCCTCTCCAGATGCTGCCTCAATCTCCCACTCCATCACACTTCAGCAGAATCACCGAAAGCAGCCCTGACCAACATCAGGGTATGAGCCCAAACGCTCCAAGCAATCCCGCAGAAGCGCAGCAGCAGCAGCATCAGCGTTCCTCACTTTCTGTCTCTGGCCAGGGCACACAAGTTGGGGATGTTGTCATGAATACGCCAGGTGCAGAGTTCCTTGTCCGTCAAATGAACGAGATTAGATCTGCAAATGGTGACGTGGTCCGAATGATGCGACAGTTAGAGGGAAATCATTGGGATCTTATTGCTATGACTGGTATGGATCAAGTGCAGCAGAACCTTGAAGGCATTCGTCATGAGATGGAGCGTCGCACAAATCTGCTGGGCACTGGCCTGACAACCACTGTTGCTGGAATAGAGCAGCTGCGCGACGCAGCGTTGCAGAGTCGCCAGGCTTATGGCCAGGCGAGTGAAGCATGCAGCACCTTGACAAGTCAGATGAATGAGCTCGCTACAGCTGTGAGACATTTGAGTCAAAGGGTTGATGAGCAAGCAAGTGAATGAGATCCGTGATCGTATAGCCGCATTGGAGTTTCAAGCTGTAGCTGGAGGTGAATGGCCTGAAGCTGAAAGGAAAATCTTCCTGAAGGAGCATAAGCTACAATCCGACAAGACTTCATTGTGCATTCACGATCTACAAGAGCAAGTGAGACAGCTCAATGAGAAAACCCAAGAAGAGAAGCGAGGTTCCTCGACACAGTTGGCGCTTGTCCTTGAACGTGTGGTTGGCGTTGAAAAGATTTGCAAGAAACTTCGTGAGCGTGACGAGGAGATCCAGGGTCACTTGAGTCACGTAATACCGCAGTCTATTGCCTCGGACGCAGGACCCCAGCAGGAAAGCCAGGCGCCAGCAAGCCTTGGGGAACCGCAGACTTTTTCCATTGGAAGTGGGACGCCGCTTCAGGTCAATGAAAGGTCTGGTGAAGATGACTGGTGGGAGGCGTACGATGACAGACCAATCAGCTCTTGGTTGACAAAACCGCCGGGCCTTCCCATGGAATCAGCCTGGATGAATGAGGGTTGGGGTGCCAATGCCCCTACTCAGCCGCCTCCCCTTCCCAAAGAATTTCGTAGCTCGAGCCAGGATGGTTTCCATCTAGATGGACATGAGCTGAGAGTTGCAGGGGGCCAGTGGAAGTTGATGAAGGAGTTCCCGAGGATTCTTGAGCCGCGAGGTCAGGCATGGGAACGAGGCCTCCAATTCTCGCAGTATGCTACCGAAATGGTGTCCGTTGCATCGTGTATCGGTGCTGGGTTCGGAAAGTTCGTGAGGCACCAAATCGATGCAGCGTTGGGGCGCTTTCAACGGCGCATGGATGCCGGGGTTCATGACCCCGATGTTCCCCCTGTTGCCAGCGGATGCGAGGAGTTTGAGAGCAGGTTGGCTATGACTTTGCTTTCGCAGACGAGTGATGATATCAAACGAGGTGTGATTGAGTCAGCTGCGGGTCAAGTGGTTCCTTCATTAACGATCCTAGAAGCGATTCTTGAGCGCTACCAACCTGGTGGTATTGAAGAGAAGTCAAGCCTGACGTCGTTTTTGAGGAACCTGCCGCAGGCAAATACTTTCACTGAATGTTTGGCAACACTTAGAAGGCTAAAGCTGGCTACATCCCGGATTCTTGTCCTTGGTTTGCCGAGTCATCCTCCACATGAAGCCATTTCTTCCTTGAACCACATGGTGAAAACTCTAGAAAAGAAGAGTCCCACCCTGAGTACGCGCTTGAATTTGCTTCGTCTTCGTCCTGAGATCTTGAATCCCACCGAAGAAGGTGTGAGTCTCCTGCAGACGGCGATTGAGGCAGAAGCACGGCGACTGGCAGCTGAGGAGTTCTCTAAGCCACATCACCCGAAAGGTTCTGATGCTGGAACTGGAGAGTATGAGATCACAGCTGCTAAGGGTAAAGGGAAAGGCAAGAAAGGAAAACCAACAGGTGATACCAAGTCAACTCCATGTGCATTCTTTAACACTGAGCGAGGGTGCTTGAAGGGAAAGGATTGCGAGTATTGGCATGGTGATCCTAAGGGGGCAAAAGCCAAAGGCAAGGGCAAGGGCAAGGAGGATTCAAAGACAAGGGCAGCGGCCAAGGAGGCTGAAGCGAAGGCCAAAGAGAAAGCTGAAGCAAGGGAGGCAAAAGCCAAAGCCAAGGCCGCAGCAAAGGAAGCAGCAGCAAGAGACAAACCGGACCCCAAGGCAAAGCCAGGTGCTAAAGCGAAGGCAGCAGCACTTGTTGGAGCTGAGGCGAAGTCTGCTACATGTTATCGAGTGTGTGCAAACATGGCATTGCGTGAGAACGATCAACCTTCTGACGATGGTATCTCTTCCTCTTCAGAGCTTTCCGAACTGGATGGTGTTAGGAGCGATGACCTTACTCCGAGTGAATTCGGGGACGAGTTTCAGGAGGAGAGTGACGACGAGCCAGGTCCATGGATGTGGAGCTTGCGCTTGACGGGTTTGGAGTGGAAAATGTGGACTCACCCAGGCAACATCGTCACCAGGGCGCATGCGGAGTTTGAGCACATTGATGATTATCGCAGTGTGGAGCATGGAGCATGGATTCTGCATAGGGCTGGGCAATTAGATGAGCTGCCGGCTGTGTTGAATGATGAATGGACCGTCACTGCTGTACACAATGTGTTGGTTCTGGATCCGGTCACGAGAGTCTTCAAGGGGGCCTTTGCCTTCGAGCTTGAGCGTGTAGATGTCCAGTCCAAGCTTCGTTTTGTGGTAGCGGTGGAAAGAAATCAGCCGTACGTAGAGCCATGGCCTGAGGATGTATGGTTTAATGAATGCATGAGATTCGGCTTCGGGGCTCCCACCGGGCATGTCAGGGACCGAATTCCACTAGAGGAAATGTTGAATGGTCATGGATTTGGTCACCTAGCTGAGACCCTGGGTTTGTTAGGTGCCGAGTTTGCTGATGATCTTGCCTTCCTGAGTCCTCGAGATTTGGTAGAGAATGGCATTCAACGGCAGGTTGCTGAGGACCTGTTTCAGCATGAAGGTGTCCTGTATGAAGTCCACGCCTCTACGGGAGTCCAGGGTGTTCGGCTGGAAGAAGAACAGATTGAGGAACTTGCGTTCTCTTTATATGCATCTTGGCAGGCGGGAGAACCGGTGAGTGATGAAGAGTACGACCCCGAAGTCCAACAAAGATTCCATGGCATGGTGCGTAGGCGGCGCCAAGGTGCTGCAAACATGTGTTGTGTCTCGGGCAATCGTGTTGAGAGTGATGGTTTTGTTCTCGTTGACAGCGGGGCCAACGAAGTGCTCCGTCCACAGACTAAGCGGCAATCCTCATTAGGTGAAGAAACGCTTCAGGTCACTCTCGCGTCAGGGTCGCAGTGCGCAGCCACCTTGAACAAACATGGAGAGGTGTGCATGATCTCAGAGAATGGAGCCAAGGGAGAGTGGATCGTTGGAGTTAGGAAGATCATCGACATAGGAGGGGCTTTCAATTGGGACCAGAAGGGCGCTAGAATCTCGTACCCACATCCTTTCGAACACGCTAGGATTGTGAATGTTGACTGCGTTGTCACCAATGGCCTACCGTACATGAGATGGTCTGATTTCAAACTTGCGCGTATTGCACTCAGCAAGCATTATCGGATGCAGCAGAAGAGCATTTGCAGTCACAAGGTTGTCACTGACATTCCCGAAATCCCTGTGATTCCCCCGGAGAGCCAGGTCATTGACTGGGTTGATGTGTTGGAGTTTCAGGAGGAGTCAGGGGATCACATTCAGGGATGCAAGGCTGTCGAAGTAATAACCAGTGAATCCTTTGCCGAAAAACTGCTTGAAAGGGATCATGTGGAGCATCATGAGGTTTTGGCAGCTGTGTAGATGGCAGATCTAAAGCCCTTGATCCTTCGTAGGAGCTCTAAGGTGGTAGGAGAACCATCGGTCGCGAAGCTGTGGGTCTTCGGGTCCTATGTTAGGGGCGGTCTGTGTGGAATCACGCGTGTCACCAAGCAGCACCCTTTCCTCACCAAACTTGCCACTAAGTTTATGAAGCAGCACACTGAGAATCCCTTTATGGCTATTGCTATAGCTGAGGATGTAGCTTTCAAGCCGCACCGTGATCCAAACGACGGCTCATTTGATTCCACGATTGTAGGTCTGAGTAGCTTTCAGGGCGGCCATCTGTGGACTGAAAATGCATCGAGTGACCTGGATGAGGACCAGGCAGTGTGGCGGTACACAGAAACGGATTCCGCACCTATTCCTGGAAAGCTCCACAGACTCGACGATGGTAGAGCAGCTTCTTTCTGTGCCACTCGTTGGCACGGTACAGAACCCTATGTTGGCAACAGAGTAGTGATGATTTCATACATCCCCAAAGGATGGAAGGCCATCGATTTGAACATGCGATGTCGACTTGAACAGCTGGGCTTCCAACTGCCACGTCAGGATCTGGAGACGAGACTTTGCGCAGCCAGTGACGCAGATGTTGCAGCTTTCAAAGCTTTGATTGCTCAGTCGTCAGAGGTCTTCTTGAACCCTGGAGCCGCAGTCACACTTGAGGAGCGAAACACACTTCAGCATGACACATACAAGCACAGTCAGCAGAAACATCCTTCCTCTCCTCTTTCTCCTGATGATGGTGATGATGATGAAGGGATTGAGGGTCGGGATGGCGTTTTGGGATGTGAGGGTTATGTTGGGGACGGGGTTCGTAGCGAGACAGAGCATCCATGGAAGAGCGCCTGTGACTTGGACTTGAAATCTCCCCTCACACCCTCCCCTGAGGATGCTGTGCGAAAGGCTTGCCGGGAAGGTTTGTATGACAAGAGGAATCATGCCAGCGTGCAGGCGAGAGGCCATCGTCGGCCCCACAGAAAATTGCCTGCAAAAGACATCAACGACGGGGTGATCTCGATTGACTTGAGTGGGCCACATAAGGAGTCATTTGCAGGGAATCGTTACGCTTTAGTTGCGTGTGCACACATTGCTGAGGGCCTTGATTTGCCTTTTGTGCGAGGGATTCGCACTAAGGAGGCAGCAGTTGTGACAGAGGCGCTGCGAGATATCTTGAATCAGCTGGTGTCAATGGCTGAAGGGCAACAAATCACTTTCCGGATTCATTCTGATCAGGGTCGTGAGTTCACTGCTCGCCTGTCCGCTGAACAGCTTAAGACTTATAACCACTATCGTACTTTTGCGGTCCCTTACTCACATCAATCAAACGGGCGAGTAGAGAACTTGATCGACCAACTGAAAACGTCAACTGCCACAATGCTCTTGGGAGGGAAGCTGGATATGAGGTTCTGGGATGAACTAATGGTTCATGCTGCAAAACTTCGGCGCATGAGAGCGTTGAACCTGAAGATCCCCAAAGACCTTCCAGCTCCAGGTGACTACGTGTTGTCGCGACTGCCTAGGGATCAGATGCCAGACTTCCGAGATCGGACCGAGCCTGGAGTTTTCCTGGGTTTGTCGGAACATGTGGCAAACGGTTCTAAAGTGTTGGTGGAGCGTGACGGAAGAGTTCTTGTGCGGTATGCTCGGTTACCGATACTCCTTGACAGAGAGAAGCCACGGTGGAGACTCGTGGAGAATCCTGGTAGTGATCAGAAGACCTGGGTTTCGGATAAAGGGCAAATTGCATGGGCTGCACCATCCGATACGGACATCTTGACGGTGGAGGAAAAGCTAGGATGCAACATCGCAAGTCCGGATGAGGTGTTTGTGAGACTGAACAACTTGCTTGAGAAGACTCGAGGGTCTGAGGTTGAAAAGGAGATTTTCAATTTGTTCAGTCATGGCATCATCGCTCAGCTCCCAGAAGTTGCAGAGGCCCACATGGTTAGAACACATGAAGCTGGCGAGGAGGTTGAGGAGGAGCCTCACCCAGCAGATGAGAGTGAAGACTCATTTGGACACAAGTTCATGAAGTTTGTTGCTAGCCGGGCGGTGTCTGCTCCAGATGTTTCTGCGCCCGATAAGTCCGAGAAGTACATCACAAGGACCGACGAAGATGAACAAGAAGCAGAAGAGATTTTTCAAAACTTGTTGCGTGAAGCACAGCAACGTCGTGGATCAGCAGAGGTTGTGCCTAACTCCGTCTTGACAGGTGAACGTGCTGAAAAATGGATTGAAGCAGTCCAGAAGGAATTGACCAGTGTAGAGAGCAAGGACGTTTTATTGCCTGTCCGACAGGGCTATGAACGAGAGGATCTACACTTGGAGGCTGGTGAAGAGATTCCCCGAACCATCCCAATGAAGCTTGTGCTATCCGAGAAACCGCTTACAGAACCTGACAGCTCTGCGAATTGCGATACAGATGGGCAAGGGTTTTTAGCGAAAGCACGTTTGGTTGCATGTGGCAATTTTCAAAACAATGAGTTCGCGAAGGACGAGCTATCAACCGAGAATGTGCCGTCCTGGATTGTGCGGACCATGTACCATAAGCTTGCTCAGGAACCAACTTGGATAGCAGGTGCGGCGGACATCTCAACGGCATTCCTGAACACTGTGCTTCGACGTGGTGAAGCACCGCTTTTGGATCCACCGGCTATCTTGAAACGCTTGAAGCTGGTACCTCATGGGGTGAAGTATCTTCCTTTGCGGGCGTTGTATGGACTTCGGATCTCGCCCAAGGAATGGGCTAAAGACCGGGACTCAACCTTGAACGGGAGTGTTCTTGAGCCTCGTGAGGGAGATGAGATGCCAGCAGTGCGGCTTGAGCCGCTTGATATTTGTGAGGGCCTTTGGCGACTGATTGATGTGGCATCGGGCCAAGTGACGGGATTACTTACTTTGTACGTGGATGACGTGCTCGTTGTAGGGTGTCCTGAAATGGTATCACGATGCCTGGAGTTTATCGGCCAGAAGTGGGCTATGAAGCTCCAAGGGTTCATTAGTCGTGAAGAGAGAACAATCAAGTGTGGAAGTTTGGGACAGCTTGAGCGCAAAACAGAGCTTGTTTTCCTTGGGGTGCAAATGAGTTTCAACATGGAGGGCGATGTCATCATCAGTCAGCGCGCGTGGATTCTACAGGAACTCCATCGACGACAGTGGCTACACCTTAAGGGCTGCGCAACTCTACCACAGCTTGAACTCAACGACGATGAAGTCAAGGATGAGGCCTATGAGCAGAATAAGCTTGAGTGCCAGCGAGAGCTAGGAACGCTCTTGTGGATGAGTACAAGATCACGGGCTGACATCGCCAGTACGGTTGGGATCTTGGCGTCGGAGTTGACTCATAGACCAAAACGGGTTTTGCAGTTGATTCGTCATGTGTGGCGTTACATCCGCGGAACATTGAACGTCTGTTTGACCTACAAAGCGCAGAAAAACATTCAGGAGTTCACGTGTTACAGTGACGCTTCGTTTGCACCCACAGCTGGAAGGTCGAGATCTGGCATGGTCTACATGCTAGGATCTAGCATTCTTGATTGGGCTTCCACGAAGCAAACACTGACGTCATGGTCAGCTACCGAAGCGGAAACGGTTGCTATGTCAGAATGCTTAAGTCAGGGTGGACGCATGCAAGACACAGTGAACCAGCTGATTGGAGTGACGCTTCCCATCATGTTGCGATGCGACAATGCAGCTGCCATCATCTTAGCTTTGAGAGAATCCCTGCAGCCCCTGAAATGGAAAACGCGAGGCGTGGCGCTTCGGGCGAGCTGGTTGAGGGATTCCATTAGGGATCTCGAAGCTGGCGTTACCCACGAGCCGGGGGCAACCCTGGTAGCAGATTTACTCACGAAAACCCTCCCTCGAGTTCGGCTGCAAACTCTCAGAGAGAAGGTTGGACTTCTTGAACGAACTTGACGCGCTTCGCATTGCTAACGGGAGCAATGGAAGAAGTTCTACTTTTGCTTCACTGGTGGCCTTTGTCCTGCATAAACGGTTCGGGTCCACTTGTGCTAATCTTTCCTTAGAAGCTCTGCCGAAGGAATAGTCCAGCAGAGTTGATGCATGAGCGCTTTTGGGGGCCCAGAGAGCAGTGCCTGAAGGGTGCTGCGAGCATCAAGATTTGACATTTGAAACTCCCAGCAAGGAGGAGTGTTTGTGTAAAGAGGCACTCATGTTCACTTGAAGCATCAGCCCCTACGCAAGGATGACACGCTGAGCGCGTCCACTGAGGTCTTAACCATAAACTATGCCAACGATGTTGGCTCAAGTCTCGGAGCAAATGCACGGAGTGCAGCTTGGTTTTCGGGTTCTTTCGGGTTCTTCCGGGTTTTGGGGTTTGGTTTCCTCTTCCCGGTACCCTAGTCCCACCCCCTGTCCTGGTACCCTAGTCCTGCGACCCAGTCCAGGGTGTGAAGGGTGCGTTCGTTCAGGGGTTCAGGGCTAAGAAGGTGGTTGATGATTGAGGTCCAAGGCGGAAGAGATGGCGGGGGATACTGATGATTTATCTAGGGTTTTGATGAACGATGTTCCTCTCCAGATGCTGCCTCAATCTCCCACTCCATCACACTTCAGCAGAATCACCGAAAGCAGCCCTGACCAACATCATTATTGTACGTTGCAGTACTCTAGCGCTGTGATTCCCGGCGTAAGCTTATGGACTTCGCGATTTCAGCTTACAGTTTGTTAAGGCAAAGGAGCCTCATTTAACTTCCCTCTACAACCGCCATCCATATCCAAAACTCAAACACACTCATTCTCACGCTAAACCCGAAGCCCTTAAACCCGAAACCCGAAACCTTATAACCCCTAACCCTAAGCCCCAAGCCCTAAACCCTAAACCTTACAACCCCTATGTGGGGGCCAAGCGCCTGCTTCTTTCCCGCGTTCTCCTTGGTGTCGTCGTTGAGGTCCTTAGTTGTCCAGTATAACCCCTAAACCCTAAACCCTAAACCCTAAACCCTAAACCCAAAACCCTAAACCCAAAAAGGTTAAAGGCTACCTACTCTCCTACTAAGGGTCTCCCTCCAGGTCTGCCTTGTCTTGTGCCTTTGAGGCGGCCAGCGCCATGTCGGCCTCGCGTTTCCTGCAAGAAAAAGAGGGATTGGGGGCTTCAGGATGGTGTTCGATTTATAATAGTTAAAATGGATAATGTAAGTAATGTACTTATAAGTATGAGATACAATATATCCTAATATTTTTATTCGGCCGGGGTTAGGAGTGGTTTTTGAGGGGGTTTGGGGCGTTTGGGTGTTTTGGGGTAGGGCTAGTTTGCCACCCACCTGGCCACGGGGCAAACGGTAGGAGGAGAAACGAAGCTGGCAAATTATTGGAACCATATTAGGCTCGCAAAGCGCGGGCGTCTTCTCTCCCTGGAAGGACACAAAGCAACACCCATGTGAAAATCAAAAAGAACAAGCCCCACAAGAACAGACAACATGGAAAAGTAACGGATGCTCCCCAGGACCTCATGTACTTATAGGGGTTTCGGGGTTTAGGGTTTAGTGGTCTGGTGCTTAGTTGGGGGAGGGATGAGGGCGCTCAAGGGGACTTATTTGCCCGGTTTGATTGGGCACTCCAGGCTATAGGGTTCGCAGCGTCTGCAGGGTTTATGGCGTTTATGTAGTTTACAGGCGCTTCTTTTGGGGACGAGGGGGAATTCGGGTTCACATTGTCCCGGCTTTTGTTTCACGAAATCTGAATGGCTGGATCTAGGATTTGGAGGTTTCGGGCTTTTGGGAGAGCCAGAATCCGAAGTCCCGAAACCCCGAATCCCAAGCCCCTATAAAATTAAAACCTGAACCCTGCAACCGAGTCTCTTGGCTGCATCGGCGATCGTCTCTTGGTAGTCCGCCTGGGCGTTCTCCTCCTCAGTCTTGGCAACGGCCATTTCTTTCTCAATGTCGCTGGAGAGTGTGCCCATCATCTTCAGCACGCCATTGCTCTCCTCCCATTCAGATGCACAAGAGGGTGTGGGGCTTGGCAAGGCTTACAGGTTTCAAGCACCCCTTAAGTGTCATGGCATTCCACGGTGGGCTTACGCGATCTCCTCGGCTTTCTTCTGGTAGCCCCCCTCGAAGGTCGGAGGGGGCTGCTGCACACGCACGGAGGCGCGCTGGAAGAAGGAGAGGTCGTAGGGGCTCTTGGTGGTGGTCTCCGCAACCATGGTTGGGTTGTAGACCTTGTTCATGCGCTCCCGGGCCAGGGACAAGAGGTCAAGGGAGGCGGAGTTGGATGACATGCTGTCCTGGTACCTTGCAGAAAGACGGGCTTGGAGAGGCCTTATAGTAGGTGTCAGGGTTTAGGGTTTAGGGTTTAAGTAGCCAGACGTAGGGCTTTGTGGTGTCAAGAGATATGAAGTGCGAGTTTCAAGGGGAGCTTCCTAGCTTCCGGGAGCCCCTGAAGCCTATGGGGGCTCAAGCGCCTTCAGCATCCCTGGTTTAGGGTTTAGGGTATAGGCTTTAGGGTTTAGGGTTTCATCCCGGAAGCTTGCAGCAGCAAGAAGAACACTAAACGGACAATGTCTCGCAGTCTAGCCAAGCAATGAAGAGCCGATATGCCCCACACTTTTCAATGTAGTGAAACTCCAAGTCTTACAAGCCTAGTTTTCACCTGGGTCAAGGTCTAACTAAGCCGACTCAACTACCCCATGAACTCTCATGACCCCCCGCCCCCCCCACAAAAATTAAATCTAGGAATGGTACTTAAACATCATATCATATCTTGTCTAAGACTCTAAGACACCAGCCCCCCGCCCGGCAGGCCGACGTGCCGTAAGTAGTAAGTACATCTTGCAAAACACACACCACAAGCCCTAAGCCGCCCCCCCCCCCTGCTCAACAAAACAAAAAACATACAAAAACATACAAAAACCTACAAAAACCTACAAAAACATACACTTTACTCTGCATCCTAACCCAACAAAAAAAGGTTGGGCGCCCAAGACACTCGCTGTGCTCGGCCTGACGGTTCTCCCCAGCCTTTGCCACGGACTCATCGAGGGCCTTGACGCCCGCCTGGATAAGAGTACTATATAGCGTTTTGGGTTTAGGGTTTAGGGTTTAGGGAGTTTAGTAGGATACAATCGGGAGTCTAGGGATTAATAGGGCTTGATAGGGTTTAAGTATAGGGGGTTAGAGGGTTTACAGGGATATCCTAAACCCTTTCTTGCCCGAATCTATACTGCCCTCAGAACCTTTTATACAAACTCTATTCTTAGTCTTCTCTTGGTTTTAAACCCTAAACCCTAAACCCTAAACCCCCCCCAAAAAAAACAGTAGAAATACTTCCTAAGGGGGCTTCAGGAATCCCTGTAGCCTGCAGGGCCGTGATGTCCTCTGCAAGTTTGGTGATGGCGGTCTTCTTCTCCTCGCGGGCTGTAGGGTTAGGGTTTAGGGTTTAGGGTTTAGGGTTTAGGGTTTAGGGTTTAGGGTTTAGGGTTTAGGGTTTGGGTTTGGGTTTAGGGTTTGGGGTTTAGGGTTTAGGGTTTAGGGTTTAGGGTTTAGGGTTTAGGGTTTAGGGTTTAGGGTTTAGGGTTTAGGGTTTAGGGTTTAGGGTTTAGGGTGTAGGGTTTAGGCTTTAGGGTTTAGGGTTTGGGTTTAGGGTTTAGGGTGTAGGCTGTAGGGTGTAGGGTTTTGCGTTTAGGGTTTAGGGTTTAGGGTGTAGGATTTAGGGTTTCGGGTTTAGGGTTTCGGGTTTAGGCTTTGGGGCTCTCGGGTCCTTGAGGTTGCGCGGTGTCTTGGGTTTATAGAAGTCGATTTAGCTCTTAGGGCTTAGTCGGGTTAGGGATTCTGAGGATGTTGTGCATATCAGCCCTAAACCCTAAACCCTGAACCCTAAACCCTGGTATGTATGTAGGGGTGGGTCTAGGGTTTAAAAGGCATCAGAATGCCTTGCTTGCATTCCGGGCGATGGATCCTAAACCCTAAACCCTAAACCCTTATCCCTAAACCCTAACACCCTAACACCCTAAGCCCTAAACCCCTCTAACCCCCTTTCTTTCAACCCGGGCTCTCTGAGGGACCCCTTTTGACCCTAAACCCTAAACCCAATAACCCCCAAGGCCTTAAAGGAAGCCAGGAGTCCTTCACACTAAACCCTAAACCCTAAACCCTAAACCCTAAACCCCTAAACCCCTAAACCCCTAAACCCCTAACCCTACACCCCTGAACCCCTGAACCCCTAAACCCCTAAACCCCTAAAACCCTAAACCCCTAAACCCCTAAACCCTAAACCCCTCCAGGATTCCTTCACACTGGCGGTGAGGGACTTGATCTTGGCATCTAAGGCCTGAGACTTCGAAGCGACCTCACGGAACTCCTTCTTGCAGTAGGCCTTGGCAGGGTTTAGGGTTTAGGGTTTAGGGTTTCGGGTTTCAGGTTGCAGGCCTTTGCAAGAAGTTGGGGACTTCGGGTTTTAGGGGTTTCGGACCCTCAAGAAGGGGCCCGGTAGGGTTGAGGGGAGGGTTTAGGGTTTGGGGTTTAGGGTTTGGGGTTTAGGGTTTATAGGGTTTAGGCTTAGTTCAGGGAAACGGCTCCACCCCCACATCTTTCATGAGCGTTCGATAGCAGGCCCCGCCTTCTTCGAGGTGTCGTCGGCAGACTCGTTGGCCAGCAGCTCGACCATGCCGTCGATTTTGTCCAAGACCTTGCCGAAGTCCGCCTTGGCGATTGCTTTAGGGTTGAGGGTTTAGGGTTTAGGGTTTAGGACTTAGGGCAATGGACCAACAGAGACTCCAAGAATTAGGGGATCTTTGCCACCTATGCTACTATAGCCCCAAAAAGAATGAAATGGACCATCACCCCTTCAACGACATGTTTCCTCCCAAAGGAATGGCTAATTACTCCCTGTGCCACGTGCCATCTCCCAAAATCGGATAGACCCTTTTTTCCCCAACAGCCTGCCACCTCTTGAGTTTTAGCTGGGAAGACCCCCCACCAGAGGTTTTGCGCATCTTCGAAGGAAGCTAGAGTACAGTCAAGCCTTCTGTGAGAAGAGCGAACGTTCCACGTCCGAAGCTGAAGAACAGAATTCGAAAATCCCAAAAGCATTGCTGCCCCTTCCCCAAAACAGGGCTTAGTGCACCGGGTTGACTAACATTCTGGGGCCTTTGCTATCCTAAACCCTAAACCCTAAACCCTAAACCCTAAACCCTAAACCCTAAACCCTAAACCCTAAACCCTCCGGGTGGCCTTCTTGCCGGAGAGGGCCAAGGCCAAGAAGTTCAGCTCGGGGCGTCCGGCATCCTTCCTTGCATGGAAGAGGCTTCCTTGGGGGCTTATATAAGGGTTGCGTAGCGGTTGAGGGTTTAGGGTTTAGGGCTAGGGTTTAGGGTTTAGGGTTTAGGGTTGAGGGTTGAGGGTTGAGGGTTGAGGGTTGAGGGTTGAGGGTTGAGGGATGAGGGTTGAGGGTTGAGGGTTGAGGGTTGAGGGTTGAGGGTTGAGGGTTTAGGGTTTAGGGTTTAGGGCCAGGGCTGGGGTTTAGGGTTTACCTAGATCCAAGAGAAACCTAGGAATACACAGGGTGCCTTTTTGTGGTTTTTGATGGGCTTTATAAGGGAACCCAAGTCCTAAAACAGCGAGTGCGGGCTTAATCTGGGTCCTAGGAACAGACGTCGGGGCTTCAGGGTCCGCTGCAAGGTTTCCTGTGAGACCCTCTTTCGAAGCCGATTTCGGCCCTCTTTACGCGGATTTAGGGTTTAGGGTTTGGGGTTCAGGGTTTGGGGTTCAGGGTTTACGGTAACAGGATCCTAGCTCTCAGAGGGGTACTCTCAATGTAGGGTGCCGCAGGCAGCCAAACTAAGAGCCCTGGCCATACAGAGTTCAAGGTAACCCTCTAGGAGTCCCTAAACCCTAAACCCTAAACCCTAAACCCTAAACCCTAAACCCTAAACCCTAAACCCTACACACCATCTCCCCAGCCGAGCTTCTGCTTGGCTGCGGCGATCATCGCCAGGGCCTCATGGCGGGCCTTCTCGCGGCTGCTGGCCAGCCTTACTGTTTAGGTTTAGGGTTAGGGTTTAGGGTTTAGGGTTTAGGGTTTAGGGTTTAGGGTTTAGGGTTTAGGGTTTAGGGTTTAGGGTTTAGGGTTTAGGGTTCAGGGTTCAGGGTTTAGGGTTTAGGGTTTAGGGTTAGGGTTTAGGGTTTAGGGTTTAGGGTTCAGGGTTCAGGGTTCAGGGTTTAGGGAGGGATGTAGGGTACCTCACTCCCTCATTCCAGACTAACCAGCACTAAGCAGCTGGATGAGAGCCGGGCTCCTGCTCCTGCCAAGGCGGGCAGCTGAGATTCGGGGACATCATCCCGGTATCTTGTGTCTGTTTGACGCTGTCTGAAGGACAACAAGACAGCCCTGACCCTACGCTCTAAACCCTAAACGCTAACCCCTAACCCCTAAACCTGAATTCAGACCTGAAACAGTCCAGAACCCCCCCCCCCCCCCCGACGAATCCCTATATATGAGGCCCGTCTGTGCCTGAAGAGGTCCAGAGACTTGTCGTCGCTGAGCATCCTCGGCTCCAATCGCTGTGGGGAAAGACGAAGGTTTAGGGTTTAGGGTTTAGGGTTTAGGGATTAGGGTTTAGGGTTTCTGGGGTTTCGGGTTTCCAGGGCTCTTCAGGGTTTAGAGCTTAGGGCTTTGTTTGCCACCAGAGTTTAGGGTTTAGGGGTTTGGGGTTGAGAGCGCTTAAGGGCTTCGGGGTGTGGACTTTAGAGTTTAGGTTTAGGGGGTTAAGGGTTTAGGGGTTTAGGGTTTAGGGTTTAGGTTTTACGGTTTAGGGTTTAGGGTTTAGGGGTGTAGGCCGCGAACCCTATCAAGGGGAGGGGATGTCTTCCAGGGACCCACCCAGAAGACCAAGCCAGAGGCCTCCCAGACATCGCCCCAGAAGATAGGACGAGGGAACGTCTCACCGCCCTCAGCCTCCTAAACTTTCCCGGCCTCAACCCTAAACCGTAACCCCGAACCTTTAGACCCTGAGCACGAAGACAAAAAAAACACTCTACAAGGGGGCCCGAAACCCTAAACTTTTCTGTTTGACCCTAAGCCAAGAACCCTGAACCCGCAAAAGCAACACCGTTCGAGGGCCAAACGAACCCCTAAACCTAGACCCTGAACCCTAAAAGGCAACACCATTCGAGGGCCAAAGAACGCCTAAACCTAGACCCGAAACCCTAAACGCTAAACCCTATAGTCCTTCAAAACAACAACACTTCTAGGGCCACAAGGGATCGTGATGGTATCCTTCAGTGCCAGCTGCTCCTCTGCCCTGGCGGCCTTGCGAGCTTCCCAATCTTCGGCCTGTCAGAGATTCAAGGGGCTTAGGGTTTAGGGTTTCGGGGCTACAAGGGTTGAGGGCTTTAGCTGTTTTAGGGTTTAGGGGTAATATTGTGTGGTTGTTAAGGGGGGTTGTTGTGGTTTAGGGTGCTGGGATATTGGGGGTTTGTACAGGAGCTGGGTTTCATGGCGCTCTGGGAGTTGCTTGCTGTAGGAGCCTTAATACTTAGAACAGGCTTTTGGGGGTGAGTACAGATCCCATATAAAGGGGACCATAAAGGAGTACTATTAGTAATTCTTCCGACCCCTAGATGACTCCCTACCATTCCTAGGGCCTTCTTGCTGCAGCTCTTCTTGAGCTCTGCCAGCATCTTCTTGTCGTCCTCGATGGACTCCCCCATCTCACCAAGCTCATGCTTCATGTTCACGACCTCCAACTTTGCAGAGCCGATGTTCTTCATCTTCCTCTCAAACCTAGTTCATGGCTGGGATAATACTGAACATGTAAATTCATATTATTCCTTCTTGGGTTTAAGTACCCTTAAAAATGTAAGATGGTACCCAACTATGACAAAGAAACTGGTTGAGGAGGGCAGAGATCTCCGTCTTCTTGGCTGACTTCACCTCCCCGTAGCTCTCGACTGCCGTGGCCTCTGTCTCGTTCTCCACGTTGATCTCGTCCAGGGTGTTGTTCTTGATTTCGGAGAGCCTGGACTCCACTTAGAACCTTGATAAATTAATGCACATATTATTCTCGATATCCTCTTGGAAACCGTAAACCCTAAACCCTAAACCCTATGAACAAAAAAAACTTCCTAAGGGGGCAATAGGAGCATTCCCACGACATATCCCGGGTCCGCCGCGCTGCGCTGGCCGCTGAGGAAGGCAGCTACCTTCCGGGGGCTTGTGCTTGGGCCTGAACCCACACCAACACTAAACCCTAAACCCTAAACCCTAAACCCTGAACCCTGAACCCTAAACCCTACACACCTGAAACCCTACTAGGGGGGGTGGGATTTCAGTGTTTCGGGGCCTGGGGGGTGCTTTGGGGGGAAGCCGCCTTCTGCTTCGCCTCGGAGTCGACGCGGCTGTCCCGTTCCACAGCGCGGAGCATCTTTGACACGGACTTGGAGCCTCGGGCCTGTGAGCTGTGCAATTTAGGTGAATTAACACTTAGCATAGGGTTTTGGTGGTTAAAGCGTATACTTACATAGGGACCATAAGGGAATACTATTAGTAGTTATTCCAGCCCCTATATTACAGGGTTGGTTTGGTTTTAGGACTGGCTTAGGGTTTAGGGTTTGGGGTTTAGGGTTTTAAAGTTTAGAGCTTAGGGCTTAGTTTAGGTTTGGGGCTGTAGGGTATCTTTGTGCAGGACCGGGTAAGTTGGCCTTCTAATGAATTTTCGGGGCAGGGCCTCCAGCAATCGCGGTGCAAATCCCGACGCTCCTACGTCTTGTGTTGCTACAAGCTGCTACAAGTGCTGAACCCGGACAACCTCCTGAATCCGAAACCCTCAACCCTTTTTGCACCCTAAACCCTAAACCCTAAACCCTATAAGGGCCTTCTGAAGGAAGGCAGTGGCCCCCCCCGGGCCGGTCAGGGCCGCAGTGGCACTGTCGACGCCATGCACCACCTCCGTCTCCTGGGCTCTTCTGATGCCACTGTTGCTGGAGTTGCGGCTTATAGGGTTTAGGGTTTACAGTAGGGTTTGGGGTTTGGGGTTTAAGGTTTAGGGTTTCGCCACCCGAACTGCGCGCACATCCAGCGCCCGCATCCGCAGGGTCAAGTCGTGGTTACCGGAAGAAAGACACGCAAGCGTTGGCGCACCTACAGTGGTGGACTAGGTAGCCCCCTTCCGTAGAAGGTCTGTGTCATTAAGCTCCCCTGTCCTGCCAGTCCATGAACCACCGCCAGGGTTTAAGGGTTTAGGGTTTGGGTTTCAGGGCTTGGGGTTTTGGGGTTTGGGTTTAAGAGGCTGTCTGCTTTTCACACTTGCCCAAAGGCTAGGGTTTGGGGGCTCACAGGTCTAGGCTTAGAGGCGGTCGATGGTTTCTAAGGCGCTTGTTTCAGGTTGCAACCATTGAAACCATGTCTCACTAAGAAACCATCTCAACCATCCCGAACCCCATGTCTGGGCGAGGAACCCTAAACCCAAAACCCTAAACCCTAAACCCTAAACCCTAAACCCCGAAGCCCTGCATGGCAGACAAGGCTTCGGTTTCAACGTCTCTTCGGCTGTCCTATGTCGAGTAAGCACCCAACTCTACAGTAGCGTTCAAAGGGTGGGTTCGAGGTGTCATACGTGCTTGTAGGTCAACTTTACATACACCCTAAGCGACTCTAAGGACAGAGAA